ATCCACAAGATTATAATCCAAATTCTCGCAGCTGTGAAAGCCTCAAATCTCATATTCATTAACAGTAATCTGTGTCTTCGTGTCTTCCGAGGAAACAAACGAAATGTAAGCAGACACTAGATACAAAAATCTGTCAACAGGAAAATGATAACAAATCGTGGCGAATGCAATGAAATTGCAGAATATGTTTGAAAACAGAGACATGTTTTAGGTTAGGCTTGTTTCTTGAAAGTTGAAACTTTTCACAAGGCTAGCAAATAACCTTCAAATTCCGTAGTGTACCGGGACTAGTTATTTCGAAAACAAACGTTTTATTTATAAGAAACAGTCATAACTTGTTCAAGTCTAGGTTCTGGCAGTGTTCATTGCAAGGCCATAGCTGGTGTAAAATCAGAAAAACAATATGGCTGGCTGTCTTCTGCGTTGTAGCGCCCAGTAGTCCACTAGATTTTTACCAACGTTTCAGAGGCCCTGTTGTCTCTATCAGCAGGGCGACAGGGCGATGAGTGGCTGTTTTCTGAGTTGTAGAAAAAAGTCGTGTAGTCTGGTAGAAGTTTACAAACGTTTCAGAAGTCCCTCCTGCCTCCATCATCAGGACGATGAGTGATACTGAAACTTTGGTCAACTTCTACACGGCGCTACAACCCAGAAGACAACCATCTTCAGACTCACCGCCGTGAGAACCTCAAATTCTGCAAGGTAGAGACATACTGTGAAATATATATTACTATACGTTTAGGCTAGGATTTACGTAACAAGAAATGCTATAGTTTGTTACTGACTTTAAAACAATAGCTTACTGTAAAAATATAAAAAAAATCGGAACAATACAAACTTCAAAAGAATACTTCAGCGGCAACCCTATAGAATGTTATCCCGGATACTACCGGTTCGATACCACCCACAATAAAATGTTTCTTGTTTTATTAATTTCCTTTACCTGAGTATCGAACACAACTTAATTATTCAGTTGCTCTATAATCCTTGATGAATGTTGACCTCCTCACACATGGGAAGTTTCTCACGCTACTTAGACACCCTGAGACAAATGAGATATTAATGTGTCACGCCTAAGAATATTTTGTAAAATACGTTATCTTTAATCTTGAACAAACATTCTACTCCACTCATTAAAAGAAATTAAACCGTCCTATTCTACGGAACACGCTCAGCAAGGCAAGATTAATTCCCTGCCTTTCAAAGAACCCGAAAGTTAATTATAGTATTCATAATAATTCACACAATTAATTAATCAACAAATTTTGTAAAATATTGAGATGTGTAAACATAAAGATTTTTGTTGTTGTTGTTTTGTTTCATTGTGTTAAAAACTAAGTAGCTTGCTCTTCTCCCGAGCGCTTCTGATCGTATTTTGCCTTTTATTCGTAGTTTGAACTTTTTCCGTCTATGAAGTAAAATAGTTGCACAATACCACGTGTGAACTCTTTCTTCGAAACCTAAAATTGTTGTAAAACAGGTCGACGTACAAGTGACATGTTACTTTATTACTCAAATTACAAATTAGTCTCGTTTAGACCGGGCTTATCAAACTTAGGGTCATTTAAAAATAAGTGACATTTCCAGGGGCCATCGAATGGGTGAGGAAAATAATAAAGTTCCACTTTAATTCTGAGCTTAAAAAAAATCTTCTATTCTCTCACAACCACACAAACAAATTACTGAAATATATTTAAACTTTATTCCCCTGAAATAAATACAACCAGGTGACACGCATAAGAAACTTAACATTTATTAAAAGTGGGCCAATTGGAGCCTCACATCGCACATAATTGGGCCACATAGAACATTCGAGAGGGCCAGAAGTTTTGACACGCCTGGTCTAGATCTATGCAATCACGTTATAACCATAAATACATATTAGACCTATATATTATCCTGTGACGTGTCTGTCCCTTGAGATTTTCCGACCAGAATATTATATAACTTCCTCATGTCCTCCATGAATACTACATCAATTCCATACCCATCCCGATTTTTTTTCAATTTCTGTAACAATATATCGCGAAGGGAAAAAATTATCGAAGTTCTACAGAATGTCGCGGCTGAGTGGTTAGTATTTCGCATTCTGAGAGGAGTGCCAGAGCTAAATCATGGCTCGGAGATTGCATATTTTGCCGCCTGACAGTCTTCGTTATTTTCCTCAGTCCCTCCAGGTAAATACCGGTCAATCAGGTCACAGTTACTCCACATCATTTCCAATTCATTATTAATCCCATCATTCAACGCTGTATGAAGCATCTGTGACATTAACAGCGTCTCTGATTAAACTATAAACAAGTCTAAATAAAAATGAGGTTAGGTTAGCTTATTTTCTGCGTTCATCTGTCGCCTCCTTTCCACTCATTGTTCCACGGCAATACGAAATGTGTGCGATTTTCCTGACCTGACCTCGTGTCACTTTCTTTGTAATCTTATCATCAGGGGAAGTGAACATCGTAAACTGCATCTTGTCGGTCAGAATAATCGGTTGCATTAGGGTTGTGCTACAGCGAACTGTTTCGAAGAGACATAATTGTTATTTCAAGGTGAGTACCAGCTGCCTCAAGATAGTTTTCTACCGTGATTACTCACGTCACGTTTAAAAGGAAGAGAAAACACAGTTTTGTAAGCATAAAACACTTGGTATATACAGGATGATCCAAAAGTAACAAAACCCGAACCAAAAGTCGCGCAGAAGAGCATGGAAAAGTAAGTGTTGGCAACACTGTACTGTTGGCCGTTTGTTGTGCAGGCATTATGACCTTGAGACATCTGCTAGGTCTCACTAGTTGAGTAATGGCATTCGAAAGTATAAGATAAGTTTTTCACAAGCAAGGCGAGTATTGATTGTGGAAAATTATTTTACTACGAATTCGTACACAGAATGTCAACAATCGTTTGTGCGTAGTTTTCCAAAATAGCGCGTGCCGAATAAATCAGCAATATGTCGAATTGTTCACCGTTTTCGTGAAACAGGCAGCGTAAGTGACAAGAAGCGATATGGACGGCCATCAAGTCTGAGTACAGTGTTGCCAATACTTACTTTTCCATGCTCTTCTGCGCGACTTTTGGTTCGGGTTTTGAGACTTTTGGTTCGGGTATTTGCGACTTTTGGCTCGGGTTTTGCGACTTTTGGTTCGGGTTTTGCGACTTTTGGCTCAGGTTTTGCGACTTTTGGCTCGGGTTTTGCGACTTTTGGTTCGGGTTTTGCGACTTTTGGCTCAGGTTTTGCGACTTTTGGCTCGGGTTTTGCGACTTTTGGTTCGGGTTGCGCAACTTTTGGATCACACTGTACCAGTATATGCCGTCAGTGATGACGTTCTTGGGTAAAACATTCGGGCTATGAGAATTTACATGTATCTTAGCAGGAAATTACTATTTTACATCACCTTCAGCGATATTAATGCCACATGAGTCACCAGTTTTAACTGCTGTTGACTGCTTCCTACTACTACATACGAAAGTTGGCCGTTGAACAAAATGGAGACAGAATGTTTCGTCGCTACATTATTTTATATAAAATGATACTTTTCTTTGGACTCCAAGCAATGTGAACTTACACGTTAAAATAAATAATTTAACTGAATTAATATTTCTATATGCACGTGTAAAACGAAACACTTATTTAATGGTTAATGTGGGTTCATATCTCTGTGGAGGACTGATAATTTATTACCGAGGAAATTACAGTGCAGCAGCTATTTTTGAAATATATTTTGTTTTTTTTAATACGTATTACATGCATTATACAGATTTTGTGTGAGCTATTATTTGTTAATATGCGCATCATTTTAAATTGTTTGTAGAAGGCGCTTGACTATGTTGAGGAATGGAAAGTTTTTCTGATGACAGTTAAAATTAGTCCTTGTTTACTGTAACTTACATCACCCTCAGCTGAGATAGGTACTGCTCCGAAGAAGTTGCTGAGAAGAATGACCATATACATAATCGGAGTCTCCATCTTACAGTCTGCTTCCCTATGTACAGCACCGTACATAAGTCGTCTCACATTTCACGTGAGAAGTGCCACTTCAGCAATTTAAGATAAGATCTCACAACTGGTGGGTTTTTCGTGTTTAATTTGTGTGAGATTCCTAAACACCAGAAGTCTTTGGCGACTTCCAAGTCTTTGTTCACGTATTATAAATTACATGTGCGACCAATATTGTACATATTTAGAGGTTAGTAACTGCACTGTACGAACTCTCATATAATCACCACATATTCCTCGAAATAACACCTTGAAAAATAAACACTTGTCCACACACGTCACAATTTGCTCATATGCTCGAGTTCACAGATGAAACACGTCTTCCGAACTACTCTGTTCTGATCCCCTACTCCTGATTTTGCGCACAGGCAATGCAAAACACTGCTAATGAAAGTGTTGAACTTGGAATTGGTCATTCGTGTATCCTGTCACCAACCACTGAGCCCCAATTCGGTTCGCTGAGCCATCACCAACGTATGTACCGACTATTACAAGTCACGTGACTTACCTACGTGTTTACCTGTACAAATACTTGTTGTTTAATTGCGGGTTTATGCTTCAGTCGAGCCGATACACATACTTCGCCGAGGCCTACTGGCGTGACGTCAGGCCAAGGACATTCTCGGGGGTTTTTTTCCTGATTATTTGTGACATGTGAGTTTGTTAGTGTGTTCGATGCGTGACATGAATCCTTCACACTCGAAAGTCTGTCTGTCCACGAGGTGTCTGGTGGAACATCGTCTATATAACTACTTGTGTCAATCACTCTGATTGGTCACACATGAACAGTAACACAGATAAATAAAGAAGTGTCCGGGTTTTGAAGAATACATATTTGGTATCATAACAAAACTGGGTATTACAGATAACATAACATGGGAAACATGTCAAGGTTTGTTGTACTAAGAAGTGGAACACTATGGCGCTGTTTGCTAATACAGGCAACTCTCGGTTTACGAACGTTCGCTATAACGAACGTCACAATTCATTCAAAAGTTCTTAAAGTCGCCAATAGATAGAGTTCCTTATAAAACGAGGTGTCAAACGTATAGCGAACATAATTGTAAGATTTAAATAAATAAACTTTTAAAAAATGTATTTATTATAATAATTATAAAAAATTATTATATTATAATTATACTGAACTCTTCTTGGTTAATAGAACTAATCTAGCCGGTATAAAAACTTTGGTTTGCATGCCACGCCGCGTAGAATGTTTTCTCGTGGGAAATAAATCGGTGATTCCCCCTATTATAATATAATAGGATCATCACTTGCTTTGCCTATGTTATCTTAGACGGTCAAGTGTAGTTCTGCATTTGGTGACTTAAAAA